GAAAGGGAAAAATTGAAACAAATAAGTAAAAAAACCATTTTACATGACCTAGAAATGTATACACTACAATTTCTTGAGAGAAATCGCGAGTAGAAACACAAATTTTCAATAAAAAGAAAAAATACTTGAGAAACTAAACTAAAGGTCAATAAGTAGTGGTAACCGAAAAAATAACGTTTCCAATTTAGTCAACAAGAATCAACAAGCAAAAAAAATTCACTTTCAAATGTCTCACTTTCAGTAACTGAAAAAATGCCATACGATGAATGCAAAAAATGACTATTAATAGCTAATCAATTAAGGAAAATGCTGTTGACACACAAACAAGTTTCACTTGTATAATTAATCACCTCGTGGAATTTTCATTTACGATACTCCGTCACGGCCGAAAAATTTAATTTAATTACCAGTTCCGTAAATCACAACGGATTTCCTGTAATTTGATTTTTGTTTCAACATTTTTCAACCCGTTCGTGATTTCAAACGCCCCCAAACAAAGTTGATTCTAGATAAAATTATTTGTTCGTCAACCCGAGATAATTTGTAAACAAATTCCCGTAACTCAGATAGTTTGTTGTGATGGGGTTTATGACCACTGAAATCAAGGAAAAAATTCCTGTTAACACTATGATTCAAGAACGCTTGTTATAATTAATCATCCATTGCTCCCGCGACAACATGTCAACAATATCATGAAACAAAGTTCGAAATTTCTTTCGTGTTAAATAACCAATTAGGTATATACATCACTACATCAGTATTGTAACTTTAATAGGAAGCAGTTTCAAAATGATGTTGAAAGTCCATTATAAGAATCCCAGGAAGATGTCAATACTAGTTACATGATGAGAAAGCGAACAACACTTTTGATTTTTTCCCATTAGCGATGAGACTTGCCAGGAAAAGGCTTTCACTGAACGAAAATTGATTATTATATTTATCGGTGCGGCAAATGAAGAGGCGACTTTTACTTCATGCTTACCGAGACTCCTCCAGAAAATAATTCGATTAAGAAAATGCTTCATCGTTTATAGAATACGTAGGTATTGTTCGAGGAGAAAATGAGAACGAGAAGCCGCAAATGTATCATGCTAAGAGCATAATCGTGTTATGGGACATTTATTGCACACGTACGATTCTTTACTTGAGCGTGAAACCTTTTATCTAATTACTGTCGAGTGGAGAACGTAGAGTTTTATCTTATTAAGTAAAATTTATTATATTATTTAATTAACGTATACATTCCCCACCGAATTATTTTAGACTTCACTTTTAGGGATTTTACTGAGTAAATAATATAATATCTTTTGACGTTGGATTACTACGACTTTGGTTTTAAGAGATGTATTTTTGCAAAACCTAAGTACTCATCACACCGATATTTTTGTCTGATGGATTGTTTACATTATCATAAAAAAATCTAACTCTGTGCTAGTTAATTTATTAGAAAAAAGTTAGAATGCTGTGTTTATTCCTACATAGGCTAATATTATAAGTAATTTTTTTAATTACGTAAAGCTGGTATTTTGACATATAATACAACTTTTACCTATTTTATAAAATTTGCTAAATTAAAGCTGATCGTAAAATAAATATTAATTTACTTTGAGATTACATGCGATATTTTTTATACATGCAATGACTGTTACCTAGTACCGGGTAATTATAATATATATATATATATACTTCATTTTTAATAAGAATTTGCAGTGTATTTATTTCACCAAACAATATATTGCAATCTAACAATAATAAAAATACGATGTACCACAAGTTTTTTTTTTCTTTTTCACACCTTAAGAAAGTTAGGTTATGATTCACATTTGTGATAGGCGACGAGTAGTCATCATCGTAATGAAGCGGCAAAATTCAGGAAATTTCAAAATTAATTTGATTCACGATCTTGTGTAATCACTTTATGTAAATGAGGGATAAATAGCTGTTTTTTGAAAAAATTACTATAACACCATTGGAAAATATTTAATTGTATTTTATCAGTAATTACCAATCAATATGCACACTTTAATATCATGTTAAAATAATACTAAATAATAAATGATTTTTAACACGTTGCCTATATATGCCTCATGTGCTGAAAATGCAAAAATTATGTAAAAAAGACTGTAATTAACCTATTTTTATTCGATACTATAATGTGTGGTTGCTACGAAACTAATTACAATTCAGCCTTCAAGAAATGAAGCTCCGTTTAAAGAAATTTATTTCTAAATGAATTATTTACATCCGCTTCGTAAATACACAACAAAACGATGCATAATTTATTTTCGTTATTTTGGAGAGGTCGTAAAAACTAGAACGGCCATGTTTTTTTTCCTCAAGTTCGACGTCATTTGCAGAAATGAGCACAAACTTATTTTCAGTGTCTAGCTGCGCAATTTGAGTTGATTAGCAATTGAAATAAATTTTGGATTTTCCAGTGATTTTAGGTGCGTTGATAGTGGTTTGAAGAATACATATTAGATAAGGAATCAAAAAGTCTATTGCTATTTTTTATTTTCCACTCCTATAATGACACAAGATTTGTGATTGTTTATTTAAATTTAGCAATAAGTGGTTTTCGTGGTAACCCTTGCTTAACTAATTTCTGGAAAACTATTGTAATATATTTATTGCATGTATTGTAAGTGTAGTTATTGAATGAACAATACCGCTGGGTTTTTCTGATAAGTTAAAGTTAAATCCCGCTTTATCGATTGAGGAAATATACAATTTGTGATAGGGTTTTTCTGGTTAAATTTGGTTATAAAATTATATTTTTAGATTTGTGTATATAGGGTGAATCAGCGCGTACTCCTCGATATGTCGTTAAAATAAAATAAGACAGCTTGTGTCGAAGAATCTATTTTTAATGATCTCATTCCCTACAAAAAATTCGACAATGTTTTGCTTGTGATTTATAATTCTGTAAGCTGAAAACAGTGATGAAAACCACGTTCCGAAATTTCTAAAAATAATTGATGTATTAATTTTTAAAGATACGTCATGAAAAATTTCATCAACCTTTTAAAAAGAAGACGATAAACAGTTAATAAGTATAAATTTGGTCATTCACTTTTTCCTGTTTTTGAAAATTTATCGAGATATTGAGGAGTGCGTGCTTATCGATTCATGTATTGCATATACATATTCATTCTTTTGTACTCATATTTATAATTACTCCTTTCTCTTTTTAATTCTTTACTTAAGAAGGTAGTACTACTGAAATTGAAAATATTTCAATATTTCTTAATGAAAAAGAACATTAAGGTAAATAATGCAATATATATATATATTATTGGTTAAAAAATTTTTGTTAACTTAAATGTTATGACTTTTTTCACTAGACTTTAAACACACTGTACCCAAAAAAAAATATTCTATCTTTGTAAACTCAAAAAAACCTAGCACGTAGTGGTAAGCTATTTGAACATTTTTAAAGGAATCTTCAAAATAATTAAACAATACTCTAATATTATCTATCTTCTTTCCAAGAATGAAATTTTTCTTCGATTGTTTTTTAGCGAAGTGTATACCTATTTATAATAAAAATTTCTAAAATTTCAAAAGGGTTTCCTCTATAATTTTTGAGTTTACAGTTCTTTTGGTACAAACTATATAGTAAAAGATTCAGGAAAATTCTTTGTGAAAAAGATTGTTTTAACCAGTATTTTTACCACACGGTGTATTTAATTACACTGAAATGATTAATTAAATATTGTGGACGATTCTGTATACACGTAGACAAAAATTCTGGAAAAGTTAGTTTCAATACACATATACAGTGTGTTCATTTTAACTGCGAAACAAATATTCTCGCGCACAAAATTTTCTAGGGCATGGTAAAGTAAAGTGAGCGACTGGTTACGGGGAAAGTATTGTATCAAGTATCAGGATTTCATATTTTGCTATTTTTGATTACGAATTTATTTTTAGTGCCTATATTAAAAGAAATTAAACAGTTTTAGTATTCCCGAAATCTTTGAATATATATTGTTTTTGACCTTTTTATATTTGAAACCTACTCATATTCAGGACAAGACTTGCTGAAACTGTCCATATTTTCCGAAAAATGTAATAAAATAAAAATTTATGGTTGTTGCCGGCTTGGCTAACATTGTTATGCAAATTTTAGCCATCGGCCCACCCTATAGGTAAAACACCCCACCTTACATTCTCTATAAAAGGTCAATCGATATAGGTAGGCATTAGAAGGTCAGTATATTATTAGGTTACCTCAATGACCTTTCCTGTTGGTGTAGGTACTTATAAATAAATAAATCAATATCACTGCGTACTACATTGCAAATATGACGTATGTGTACCGAACCATTACTTTATTATTCAGCGCTAATGCTTTTATTATACAATCCAACAAGACCGACTGCTTTGAGCTGCACATTTAACAATCTGCATATTTATTTCTTATCATCACACATGACTCAGTCCTTGGAAAATGTGGTAATACGAAACGTCTAGTCATATCTGTGTCACTGCGGTTTTTTTCTAAAATGCATTTTAAAAATGTATTATTGTCAAGGTGAAGACTGATAAATGGTTTTATTGTACGACAGCTGAACTTGAACGAATTATATTTTAAAATTTATGCAAAGAAACTAATTATCATGTTAACGATGCGCGTGTCGCAATTTCACCTAGGTTCTTGCGATAAAGTGATATCGCCAAGACCCTTGAGAAAAAATTTCTTTCCAAACAGTGTTTTCACGTGTTTTTCTCACGTGGCAAATAAAGTTGCTGTCGGTCTTTGGTCGATATTATCGAAACCTTATGAATTTTTCATACTTGCAGCCACCGGAGCGCAAATATTGCTCCGTTTTTTTACTCGTGAAAAAAAGTTGAAGCACAAACACGCTTCAATAATATTAATAAAAAAAATTCAAGTTACTCTAAAAATAAAAATGATTTGCGAATATCTGCATGCTGTAGATGATTAGATAACAGCGTGTTAATTGTTTTATGTAGTTTGTAAAAAGAAAACTTACTTCTTGAATGTGGTTTCGTATTGCTTGATCTCCTTTCTGGAAAACTCGTGGAACTCGGTGTAAATATTAACGACTCTGTAGTTAACTTTAACTTCATTTCCATTATCTAAAGCATCGTTAATTTCTTGTCTCCTGATTAAAACGGAATTTAATTCTGCGTCTGCTGGCATTTTGTTACAAAAATTTTGGTAAAATTTGACAAATCACTGAGAATTTGCACGACACTTGACAAAAACACTGACAAAAACAACTTCCGAACCACGAGAACTTCACAATTTCAAATTCACCTCGACAACACTCAAAACGGAACAGAGGAATCAGAGAGCGTGATTTTAAATATGCACGTGGGTACGCTTGCGCATCTTGGTTTTCCCTCCACTGCTTGAACTTCTGATGTGTAGTAGCAGGGCCAAGAAAGGTACTTTTTATATCTACATATTTTCTAAAAGAAATAAAATATGTAATGTAAATGACACATGACTTAAAGATGCTTTTAACTGTCATAAAATATGATTTAACGATAATATTAATTGTTTTTAACCGCTTCGAATCTTGTAAACAGGTATTTACAGATGGCTTACAGGTACTTGAATAACATTCTAAACTTGTTGATTATTGGAAGATATGCTAAGAATGTAAGCAGAAAATGTGATTCTAATTGATTAGACCTTATTATGTGTCACCGCGTGTAAATAGTAACAAACTTTATGTAGCTTTAGAATTTTTCCATTATCAGTAACAATAATAATGATAATGAATAGGACGTCGTGTTATTCCAAATATGCAAAAATAAGTTTCTAAAATATTTTTTTCCAATACTTTCGCTGCTGCTGTAATAACAGTTCAGTCAATAAAATCGAGAGTGGTTTCTTTATAAAATAGTCAGGTTTTTGTTGACTTTCATTCATTGTTAATGCAAGTAATTCGATAAGTTTCACTTTCAATTCATCAATATCTATTTATTTACAATTAAGTCAGGATTTCCTATTTGTAACCATCTAATCAAAATTTCCGCTGTTGAAGTCACACGTAATTTATTCGTTTTGAGTTTGTTTTCCCCAATATTATCACTGGTGCGTAATTTATTATCAGCAACGTCAGACATAGATGCGTGAGATGATTCATTTTGCGAAACGGAAGGAAATGGGGTGACATATCATTTGTCGAGCGACACCATGAATTAAGTTTAGAGAATTGACTTGTGGTAAAGTGCATTGATAAAAGGTGTATAACACATCAAAACTTGCTTCCTCGTTACTATGTAATCACCCCCATTTGAAACAACCCTTTCTGGTAATGAGTAATTGTAGTATGACTCGTCAGTGTTATTTTATTCCATTTGTCGAAATCTGAATCACATTTATTCTGTAAATAGTAAATACATGTTTCTTGCAAGGATAAATAGTAAATAAGAATATGCATCATTTTTAGTGCCGCTATTCCTGAAGAGTTTAAAACGTGGATTTTCAAGACTTTTTTTAATAATGTAAAATGATTTTTTTTTATAGATATGTATAAGAAATGACTATGTTATCAAATAATGCAAAGAGGAATTAAATTCAACATAGTAAGTAATAGTAGTAAGATTGTACAGAAGTTGTACGATAAAAGACATATGATTATCTCTCGCTATCTATTATATTTTGTTGTGCATGTTGTTTGGACGAAACTATTATTTAACTTGGATAATACGATAAAAAAACAAAAAGTTAATTACTTAATAGGAATAAATTGTATAGCTTCTAAAAGCAAATTTCTATGGATAGGCAACTAGTATTACACCCCAGTAATTCAAATAGTCAAAACATATTAGGAGTACTTCCGACCGGTAAATATAGACATATTATACTGCACATAACGTCCTATCTACAACGCAATGTTTAGAAATTATGTTGAAATTTTTCTTGTAAATAGGTAGATAGTAATTGCTGTATCATAAAATTAATGAGTTGAACTGGCCAAGACGGAACTATCTAATTAGTTCTTAAAAACCATCATTAATTATCCGAAATAATTAATCAAAGGACAGTTAGAGTGTACACTCTGTACATCCATGTCAGTACATAAAAGAAAAGAATAAAGATGAATCTACATGGTTAAAACTGTCTACGTGTTGAGCATAACTGAAAATTGGTAAATATCATTTAAATTGTTTCTTTGGAGGAGGTAACTTTTCCGGAAACGTTATACTTTCGAATCTTCTTTGGCATGGTATTATAAATTTGCCCCTACTAAATCTGCATTATTCGTTGTCAAGGGGGACCAACGACACATCAACATGTGAGAGACGTAAAACCACTATTTTCGTAGACGAGCTTTACATTCATTTTTGTTTCAAATGTGATGTGACCATACTTTTCTATTATTTTTTTACTTTATATTGTAAAACGTTTCACTTAATTCAAAAAGAAAAAGTCACAAATAAATTGGTCTAAAGTTATTTGGATAGAACTTTCCTCGCTCGTGAAAGGATTCTACATGTATATTAGAACGTATTCTTCAACGAGATTAATTTGGTAGTTTTTCGTATGGGTAGATATTTTAATTTTGATTTATATTAGTGTAACATCAGTTTATGATTTTCAAAGAAGTTACACAAGTTGTTTTTAAAATACTAAAAAAATTAGATGATGATCAGTCTTTTAGAGGGAACTAATAAATAAATTCTAACTTGTCTTTAGAAAGTGTTAAATAAATACCCTACCAAAATTTCCAAAATGTTCGCTATCTAGGTTCTAATACAAACTAAAATTTTACGTAACGTTAAAAGATAGATAAATAGTTAGTACTTAAGGAAAATTTTTAATGATGTTTTAAATGTTTGGTGAAGGCATAAATTTGGTTAAAGCGATCTTAAAACCACCCCTGATCTTCAATTTTTATTTCTTTATTTCCTGTGGGCAAATAGAAATGTATTGTAGTTTTACGAAGTCTTATTAGTCCTAAAGCTTTGAAAGTAGGTCCTTTTTTGTCTATTTGTCCCGGAGTTCATTAAACCTTTAATAAATATTTTAGATTGATAGTCTTAGAAACTAATGGATCGGTTATTTTTCTATATTATGGTTAGATTATAGCGACAATATCAATTTATGTCTCTTTTATTTTGAGAGTTCCATAAAAACTAGTTGCATGTTTCCATAAATATGCTGTGGTGACCGAATTTAAATCAAAGTTTTCGCGCTGAAATTAATTGACAGCGGCGCGAAATCGCATTTGAATAATTTGAATTTTAATTTGAAAAAAAAAGAGTTCAATCACAAAAAGGAAATCCTTAAACATAGGCAACCAAATATGCATGGATGGTCTAATGCACGTAGCGCTTAGGAGTTAGTTTGCATGATCTTTGGGTTAGATGGCAGCACGTAGCGCTAGGGTAATTTCAGTTAGAGGGTTGGTAGAAAAGCGGCATGGCGGTAGAATGTGTCATTCTGGTGTGTTTCGTGTAAGTGTAACCACGTGGTAAGCGCTAGGTTTAAATTAGTTGGTTTGGTAGTTAATAAAACGGGAGGAAGCCTTTGTTTAACGACGATCAAACGTATTTTTCATAATGATACAGTTGTCCCCAACCCGCGCGTTAAATTCTTGCGCCCTTTTAATCGAAAATTGCAGACTTCCGGTCGGACGCGAACACGTGTTGTGAATCTGTTTCTTTGTTTGTAAATTCACCAATCAAGCTAGTTTTTCTTAATAGTCAGCTAGTGCAAACACAATTTAACAATCAGGATTATTTAAATTAACCATTTGCTAGAAGATTTCATGAAATTCACTTAGTCAGGAAAAACACCTTATGTTTAATTACGAATAGGTCTCTGGATGCATATACGTAAGTGTTACATTATAACACTTCTAAATTCTTCACACAAGATTGCTAATAGTTCATTTACGGCAGTTAAACAAGTTCATTATACTGCGGACTGGCGGGGGGTTATGATATTTTCTCCCCTTAGGTGGTTATCATCGTTATCACGATTAATTCATCGGGGCATGTTTCGCAACGCCAGATTGATTAATTAATTAAGGCATGCCCCCAACGCTACAGAAAATTTACATTACCGAGACGCTTTTTCCTCGCAACGATTTTGGATATTTACATCACCGAGACGCTTTTTCCCTCGGAGCGATGATTGGATATTTTTGTATTTGTTTATTATGTGTTTTGTTGGGGTAACCAGTTCGTAGTATTTTAACTTCTCAAAGTAAATTATTTTTGAAGTAACCAATCATTTAGATCATGATATAATTTGGCATAATGTAAACTCTTTGTTTGAACCGTTGATAAAGTGTGGCAAAAATTAATCTCATGTAAATTTTGTTAACTCTGCAAATTTTCACATCATACAATATTTCTTTAATCTCACAATTTTAACCTCAGTAATTTTATTTGTTGTATAAATTTAATTGAACGTAAATTTCATGTTCTACAGTTCTAACCTCACATAACATTTCTATTTGTACAAGTTTATTTCACACCAGATCTTTCGTCTCATAAATCCTTGCTAAGTTTTGTTTTGTAAATACTTTGTTGATGAATGTTTTCTATCATATAAATTATTTGATGTCCAACTTTAATCCCACATAAGAATTATTTGTTGTTTAAGATTTCACAAGATTGTATGGCGAATTTAAATGTTGTTTATTGCTCTTTGAAACTTTAACACTTGTTCAGTTGTTGTTAACATCAGAGTTATAAGAGATTGAATGTTTTAAAATGGAATTGAGGTTAAATGACACAGAAAACGTGGCAGAAGCGAGGTTTGGTTCCTAGTCGAGCTGGCGAGATTTATCGCGCCACCTGTACAAGTCCACAGGTTTGGATAGATTCAGGGGGCGGCCGCCGACGTTGTGAATTTCTCGATGTGGCCCAATAGTCGAGATCTTTGCGGGTTGGACGACCGTAATGGCCTAGTTCCGCAGGGCAAAGTTCGTCATGGGATATGCGTGTGGGGTAGGCTTTGCGATAGATAGAATCATCGTCGCGGGGGGAGAACAGTTCCAGACCGGTAGCTCAGACTCCGCTTATGCTACAACGCTCCAGGGGTATTTTTGTTGTGCTCCTGTTAACTGCCGTTACTTAAAAAGGGAAAGGAGATTGGCCGCCACACGCCTGTAATAACTTGTGTACTTGCATCCAGTTACTTGATTCGGTTTTTGCTTTGTTTTATTAAACTTGTGATATTCCAATATTTGCATTGATTCCAAACAGATGTACAGAATTTCCGTTTGTTCGTTTTTCGTGTGTGTATGTCTGTCAATTCGCGAGTGTTTTTCTTTCACATATCTTAAGGTGTTTGAAATGTAATAATATGTCGTCCGGGAATAAAACCAAAGGGGGTTT